AAAATGCGAATGGGTATTGCCAGTACCCATGAAGCATGAGCCTAAAGAAATCAATCCTTTACTACTAAAAATACCTCAGGACATTGTTAAAAAATTTATACAGAGTTTGATCTTTAGCCATAATAAAATTAAACTAAAGATCAGTAACAGAAAGACAAAAGGAAAATTTCTAAACAGTGGAAATTAAACAGCATGATTATAAACAACCCATGGTCAAAGAAGAGTTCTCTAAAAAATACATAGAACAGAATAAAAAAGATACAATATATCAAAACACATAAGACACAGCTCAAGCAGTACAAGAGGAAATTTCATAGACTAAATGATTACATTAGAAATGAAGAAATATCTGAGGCCAATAGTTTGTTTCTGCCTCAAGAAAATAGAAAAAGAATAAAATAAACCCAAATAGAGTAGAAGAAAAGATGTGTATGTAGAAATATATATGTGTGTGTAGAAATATATATATATATATATAGAGAGAGAGAGAGAGAGAGAACAAAGCAGAAATTAATGAAATTTAATAAAAGAACATGATAGAAAATTAAAAATCTGATTCTTGAATAAAAAACAATAAAATCAATAAACCGTGTTGTCTAGCAAGACAGACAAAATAAAAAGAATCAAGACACAAATCACTGTTAGGAATAAAACAAAAGGCATTATTAAAGATAATGCAATCATTAAAAAGATAATTTTAAAAACCTGCTGCTCATAATTCAACACCTTAAAATAAATGGACCAATTCCCCAAAAACCACAAACTACAAAACTTCAACCAAGCTGAAATAGATAATCCAAGTAGTCCTAAAGTTATTAAATAAATTAAATTTGTAGTAAAACTTCCTCCCAAAAAATCTCCAGACACAAATGGTTTCACTGGAAAATTCTGCCAAACATTTAAAGAATTAACAGAAATCTTGTATGATCTCTTCCAGAACAGACAATAGAGAAGGGAAAACTTGCTCACTTTTTTTTATGACGTTGTATTACTATAGTAATATGAATACACTATTACTCTTATGCCAAAATCAGACAAAGACAATAAGAAAGGAACACTACTAACAAATACTTCTTATGGACTTAGAAAAATTCTCAACAATATATTAACAAATGAAATTCAACAATGTATTTAAAAATATGCACTAAGACCAAGTAGAATTTATTACTGGAATGCAAAGCTTGTTCAACATTCTAGAATCAATTAATGTAGTTCAACATATCAACAAACTAAAGAAAAAATTATATGATCATAATCAATTATGCATAAAAAGCATATGGCAAAATCCAACACATATTTATGAGGTAAAATTCTTGGCAAGTTAGGAATAGAGGGGAACTAACTCAATTTTATAGTGTACCTACAAAAAAAACTATAAGTCACATCACGCTTTAATGGCAAAAGATTGGATTTTTTTTTTTTCTCTAAGGCAAAGGTATCTGTGCTTACTACTGTTATTCAAAATAGCACTGGAAGTTCTAGCCACTGCAATAAGTAGATTTAAAAAAATTAAATGCAAACATTGTAATAGAAGAAATAAGGGCATTCTTATTTGCAGAAAACATAATTGCTTACGTAGAAAATTCCAATGAATCTATTTTTTTAACCTAGAAACAATAAATGAATTCAGCAAGTTCCCAGGAAACAAATTCAACACAACAGATGCAATCTCATTTCTATATACTAACAATGAATGTGGAGATACCAAAATTTAGAAATACATTTTAGAATTACTACCAAAATGAATATGTGGTATACACATAACAAAAGATGCACAGGATCTGTATGTTGAAAATTATAAAATGCTGACTGAAGAAATCAAAGAATCAAAGTATATGGAAAGACATATCATATTCATGAATTAGAATATTCAGCATGGTAAAGATATCAGCTCTCCCCAAACTGAAAGATATGTTTAATGTAATTTCTGTTGAAACCTCAGACAAATTTTTGCAGATATACACAAGGTTATGCTAAAATTTATATTGAAATGCACATACACTAGAAGATCTAAAATAATCATGACAAAGAAGAATGAAGAGGAAATAATCAGTCTACGTGATGTTAATGCTTACTATATAGCTACATTAATTAAATGCTATTTGGTACTAGAAAAAGAAATGAACACATACATAAATGAAAAAAGTATATAGATCAAAATATAGACCCAACACAAACAGGTACAAAAAATATGTCAATAAATATATCGATACATACTGATATCTATATTATATATCTCTATCAGAGATATATTTTAACCAATTGTTGATAAAGATGCAAAAGCACTTAATAAAAGAGAACCTGTCAACAAATGATGCTGGAGCTATAAAAAAACTAAATAGAAATAGATTTCAGATGTAAATGTAACACATAGAACTATATTATTTTTAGAAAAAAAGTTATAGGAGAAAACTCTCAGGACCTAGGGCTCAACACAGAGTTCTTAGACTTGACACCTAAAGCATGATACATACCAAAAGAAAATAATGATCAATTACTCCTCATCAAAACTAATACTTTTTCTCTGCCAATGCTTTTGTGAAACAGATAAGAAGACAAGTTACAAACTGTAAGAAAATATTTGTAGATCAAATATTGACAAGGACTAGTTTAGAAATTATATAAAGAATTATCAAAAGTCAACAGCTTAGAAAAAAAGCCCAATTGAAAAATGTCCAAAAGACATGAATACACATTTCACCAAAGATGATAAGAAGAAATAGTCAACATTCGTAGTCATCAGGGCAATGAATACTAAAACCACTGAAGTATTACTGTATGCTTATCAGAATGCATAAGAATTTTTAAAATAATGACACCAAATTCAAAAAAAAATCAGAAAAATTAGATCACTTATATTTTAATTGGGATAATGTAAAGAGGTACAGTCACTCCAAAAAAAAAGGTCAAATTTTTTCAAAGCTAAATGTGCAATTAGTTTCTGTCCCAGCAATAACACTCCTGGGAATTCATGACAGATAATGAAGACATATTCACACAAAAACTAATACACAATATTCAAGCAGCTTGATTTGTCATAGCCAAAATCTAAAAACATCCCAGCTGCTCTTCAACAGGTGACTGGTTAAACAAATGGTGGTACATCCTATATCTATGGAAATGTATATGTATATTCCATAAATAGTATCTATATATAGATATATATCCCTATAGATATATATGTAATATATAGTTATATATAATATACATTAATATATGTAGATAGTAATATCTTTATCTATAGATATATAATATCTATTATATGATATATATGTTATATATGTATACTATATATACATAGACATAATATCTATATATTACACATTACATATAGAAATAGGTCTACTATATAGATATTGATAATATATAGATGCAATATAGATATATTCTATATTTATATATTACATATTATATATAATTACATATAATATATTAATATAATATAGATATATAATATAGAGATATATGTATTTCTCTATTTATATATATAGAGAGATATATATTATCTCACTCAGCATAATTCCCTGGAGGTTCATCCCTGTAGCATGTATCAATGATTCACTATACCTTTAGTCACTGAGTAGTATTCCATGGGAATATATCTCTATCCCTAAGGATAGATAGATCGATATATAGTGATATCTATATCATATTTCTGGATATATTACTGTGGAATACTACTCAGTGACTAAAAGTATAGTGAATCATTGATACATGCTACAGGGATGAACCGCTAGGGTATTATGCTGAATGAAAAAATAAGTCAATTAAAAAGGTTACATGCTGGATGATTCTCTTTATATAACAATCTTGAAATAACAAAGTTCTAGAAATGTATGAATGGATGCCAGGGATTGGAAACCAACAGGTGGGGGATGGGGTACGTAGTTATAAAGGCACAACACAAAGATTCCTTGGGGTGATGAACTGTTCAGCATCTTCACTGTGGTGGTAGATACAGAGCCCTAGAAATGTGACTATTTTGTATGGAGCCAAATACACATATAGCCACACACACAGGCAGATGTATAGAGAAATCCGATTAAGATGGGTGGATTGTACCAATGTCTACTACTCTATGGCACTGCAAAATGTTATCATTTAAGGAAATTAAAGTACATACAGTATCTCTGTGTATTATTTCTTATGTCAACATGTAAATCTAAAATTAACTCAATAAAATTAACTCAATAAAATTTTTAATTTGAAAAATGGACAGCTCCAATTCTGTTTGATAGGACACATCACTAATGTTTGAAGAATAATATATTGAAGTTGGTAGTGACTGTGACTGGAAGACACTAAAAATGACTGACCTAAAATATTTTATGAGAATCTATTTTAAGTACTTATCTCTCAGTAATCAAAATTAATGACAGTCATTCGAAACTTCCTCCATAAGATTCTTCACATAAAAGGACTCATTTTATTTGCAAACCACTTCTAGTTTTTCATTTCCAAACAGAATAATTTTGCTTTAATACTTCCTTATAAATCTAATGATTTATTATATTTCTATGAGATTCTCTCTTGTTCTACAAGTTTTCTCCTCTTGTCTAACTCTGAATGTATTATGAGGATTGCTACTTTCTTGTCCTTTTTTTATATTTATATATTAATAATCTAGTTTTGGTTTCCAAATAGGTGTTCATACTATATATATATATATATATATATATATATATAAAATATATATATGGCTCCTTAAAATGTTATATGCCAAAATAACTCTAGAGGTGAAAAGGGCAATATGTAAATTTAGGATGAAGGAGTGCAACCTTGATTGTTTCTTTGTGAAAATATTACCCAAGCGTCTCTCCATTTTATCTAAAAAAAGATCAAGTCCTTAGTTGAATTTGTCCCACTGGCGATAGCAAATTTTAAATTTGCCTGAAAGAACATGATGGAATTTGAGTGGGTGCAAAGAACACTTTGAATCAAATGTAGATTAGTGTAAAAAAAACAAAAAATGTGTTTAGTTGTTGAAAGTGTTAACTTACTACAGAATGGATATATGCCACTAGTATCCAAAAACACAGTGGTCCTAACAGGTCCTCCTTTTATCCTTTCTTTCAAAACATCTTTAAATAGCTTGGCTTGATAACCTGAGATTTGAGAAATAGAACATTAGAAATTGGATTTCCATCAAGTAACAAAAATGTCAAATCACTAAAGTAACTAAAAGATCAGTGTGTATAATCATCATCATGATCATCGTGGATTTTGATAGCTTAAAAAGCATTTTTTCAAATAATGCAGCATTCCATTTATTTTAATTACAATAACAACTCTTAAATTCAGGATTCACAAATAAATCTGCTCCCTCAAAATCTTATCAGAGCTTAGCATACTCCATCCATATGGCTATAGTCCATTTGTAGAAGTTTTACTGTTATAAATTCAGAATTTTACCTGTAATTCTTTCTAATAAATTCAGCAGAGTAAATTGACTACATAAAACTTAAACATACAATATAGCTCCATGAGTATAGCTCCCTAATTCTCCAATACGTATAATACATACAGATATGGCATGCGTGTGCATACATTATATATATAATATATATATGTATAGGTATACTTTACATGTACTATATATTGTGCATATAATATACATATTTCAGATAAATATATTATGTGTACATGTAGCATATTTATTATAATATGTTGATATATTGATAAAAAATACTTATAAAATAAACTTTATATTAATATATATTTAATATGCTTCATGTATTTCTTTGTTCCCGTATTGCTACCTCCAAATTTGAGATTTGAATATGGTAGAAAGAATAGTAAATTAAGAATTCAGAGGTTTTACTCAAGTTCTAACTTATGCCTTTACGTAATTTATATATTCACTCTGGGTTACAATTTTCTCATTACATGGAAGAAGGATGGGACCAGAAAAGCAATCCACAACAGGAGGTCTGAAGAAAACTAATCCCACATGATGTCTTACAGACAGAAAGGTCTATGAGAAAAATCAAATTGGCAATGCCTGAACGGTGCATCCCCTTCCTAGGGTGTTCTCAATGTGTGCTAATCGTGCTTCAGAGTTTGGTTTAATTTAGCCTTTGTAATCACTACCCATTCCTTGAACCCCTTTGGCTTTGGAAACATCTCTGGAGAATTCTGCCACGATACTGACCAGATGTTTACATGCTCACGGCATGCTTGGATCTGGTGCTCTCTTTGAAAAACCCTGAGTAAACAGCCTCTGAAATTCTTTCCAGTTCCAATATTATATTTTTATGCGGATTTTTTTCTCTATAATTTCCTATTGGCAGGTTTTAGTTATCAGAAGTAGCAATACTGAACTGCTGTTAGCAAGCTTTATCCATTTAGAAGGTGTGAACCATGTAACCATGTTTCATGTCTACTTGCTGATAGCAAATAAGAAGCTAACCATGGCTCATATCTCTTCACTTGTTCCTAAGACCTCCAAAAAACAAAACAAAAACAAACAAACAAACAAAAAAAACCACACCTCGGTGTTGCCAAGACTGTGCAAGTTTCTTTCTTTAAGTGAAAATATAGTTGGATGATAGTTAGATGTACATCAGAAACAAGGATCATTATAAAGCCACCTAATCTGCCCACTATACTGAACATAAAAAGGCAGTTGATTATGTTCCTTTCATTAAATATATTAAAAATGTTTAGTAGGGAATGATATATTTACTCTGTACCACATCTCTACAGATAATTTTTCCATAAAATGGTCATGTATTAACAAGTAAACAGAGTACACAGTTTAGCTTCCAGCAGAAAATACTAAAAATTATGTTATTCATATTAAATAAGAGTGATAGTAACTATAATAATCTCTCTTACCCAGCCAAGGACATGATTTTTCCTTAAAACTGTCACAGTCCACACATAAGCTAGTCTTGTAATCTTTGTATGAATGACAAGGAAATGAAATAAAATTGCAGTTTGTTTCCAAAGATGCCATGAACAAGTGAACTGCTCTCTCGTGGTTGCATTTAATGAATTTAATTCCTTAAGAGTTAAAAAAAAAAAAGCAAAGAACTGTAGATGTATTAATCCATGTTCAAGTACATTTAAAAACAAAGTAAAGATGAAGTTTTGCTAAATACTATGTACCTTATGAATATTACTGACTATAATACAGTTTTATGTCAAACCACTAAACAAATAGTACCAATGAAAACTTAAATGTAGTATGTCTTTTGCATGAGATTTATAATAAAATTTTAAAGTAATAATTAACACAGCAAAAATGTTTCATTTCAGTGTTTCACAAGCTCTACACAGTGCTACTATACTTAATCACTAGTGTACACATCTTTTCCTTCTAATCCTGTACTCCTAACGTTTCCACCTAATGACAAAGATGACCATGAAACCAGGTGACATTAAAACTTTATTACCTTTCTTTTCTTTTCCAACCCCTTTTCCAACCTTGCACATCCTCATGCTTTTCACCAAACTTCTTTAGCTACAGTGGCCTTTGGTCACGTGTTGTTTGACCAGCTGCCGTTGTGGACCTGAGAACATTTCTTGCAATGGCTCTGACGTGAACCAAATTCCACACCTGGGGAAGCTGCTCGGCTATCTTTATGTACAGAACAATCAAGTGTCAAGAGATTTTAAATTTGTCTTTGTACAGTAATATTGTGATGGTTAACATTAAATCCTGAGATCAAAGTGTTATTATATGATACTTTAGCTACGTGTGCTTCCTCACAGTGACTTACAACTTCTCCTAATGTTCAAAATGATGAACTAAAATTATTAAAAATATAATATAAGAGGTCTCATCCACGACCAAATGGACGTCTACTGGTAACCTTTATGAACTGAGCATGGTCAAATTAAACCACTGTTAACCAATAACTCTCCTGAGTCATGGGCAATGGTGATGAAATCAAAACACTGCCTACAGATGAAGAGGGGAAAGTAAGTTACTTTCTTTCGTCATTTCAAATATTATATAATTCATTCAAAAATACTATCAGTATACCTGAGAAAATTGATTTAGGACAGCCAGGTTGTTTCCTTCCTCCATTTGGATAAAAATCTATATGTCCCAAGGGCTCTCGAATGCCTAAACCTGAGAAGAAAAGCACCAAGGATCATCATGTGTATATAATTGGGTGACTAGCTTGCACAAAACAAAATATCCTATAAAATCCATTCAAAGTTATTCTTTAAATATTAGAATTGAAAATAAGTGTTTTTATAAAGAGAAGGTTTACTTCTATAAATTCTTCATGAAAAGTATATTTCATTAATGTAACATGTTTGCCAGTCACCAGTTTACTATGGGTCAGTCACAGTTTTTTGTGGTATGAACACATAAGTGAAAAAAGAAATAGAGCAAAATGACTTGCAGTGACAAATACTTTATAGTGGAAGGAAACCATAATAAACAAGTAAATACAGAGTATGTCAAACAATAATACGTGCTACGGAGAACAGTTCAGTAGAACAAGAGGACAGGAAGGGTCTAGTGAGGGTGGTAGTTGCATGTTTAAGTTATTTGGTTAAGGAATTTGCTACTTGAAGAAGGTGGAGTGGAGCAAAAATGTGAAGGATGTGAGGCGGTGAGCCCAGTGGATATTTGTGTGAATATGCTCGAGGAAGAAGCCAGCGTGGCTGAAGCCTAATGTGTAACAGGGAGCTTCGGAGCAAAGGAAGCCAAGTCCTACAGAGCCTTTTCAATCAGTGTGATGATTTGCTTTCACTTTGGGTCATAATTTTTAAGATCTGCTGGTGCTGGATGCACTAACTGGAAAAAAATCTAAAAACTAAGCTGCCTCTCGGCTGGAGCAGTTTGAGTCAGAGTGACATGAAACTCAAAGCTTTGATTCAAGGGCTTGTGTAGCCCTGTAGATCATTGGGGCACCGGCGAATGTACTGATTCTGAGCCTGTTACCAGCATATAACTCAGAGAAGCCTTAACAGTGAAAAGGGCTAGCAAGCCCAGAATACTCAGGACTGTGATTTGATATAAAATTGTGCTGCCATATAAGATTACAATGCTTTAATCTGGGGCACAAAAGATTTCCTACAACACAGTGAACTCATGAAAGAGATCAGTCATAGATTTAGTATAAAACAAAGATAAATAGATGATTCTGACAATAAGGGTTTAGATGCTGCAACTCGACTTAGTTCTAGGATGTAACAGAACCTCTGATGAGTTGTTAGTAGCACGTTAGAACACTGGGCATGTACACTGAGGCTGGGGAGAGGGGAGTTTTAAAAACAAGAAAAAAAAAATTAACAGTGTTAGAGATCTGTGAAATTTCCTCATATTTGAACTCCACATGGATTTCCAAGACTAGGGGTTTCCAGTTTGGAACTGTCATTTTCTCCAATCTGCCAATGAAGGAGACTCAAACCAACAGCGCTCCTTAGGAATCAGAGGGAAAAAAAAAGAAATTTGTCATTAACTTACAAGCAGCCCTTGATTCAGGCATGCTATTTCCCTTTTATCAGATGGGTGGGGGGCAGCTTGGTCTGTTTAGATCATTCATTCTCTTGGTTTCAAGAAGGGTGGGGAGAGCAGCTATGACTTTTTAATTTTCCTTTTATTGTAAAATATAAGGCACATGCAGAAAAAGAACATTCAACGTAAATCTATAGGCTAATTATTATAAAGCAAACAGCCATGGGGCTACCACACTCATGTAAAGAAATAGCACCTAGAAGCCTCCATTGTGCCCTTACCCAGTCACAAGTTTCTTTCTGTCCCCTAATCGCTAACCCATCCTCTTTTTTAAAATAAAATCATTTGTTGATATTATTTTATTTTATTTTATTTTTTGAGACGGAGTCTGACTCTGTCGCTCAGGCTGAAGTACAATGGCATGATCTCCGCTCACTGTGACCTCTGCCTACCGGGTTCAAGCAATTCTCCTGCCTCAGCCTCCCAAGTAGCTGGGACTACGGGCACGTGCCACCATGCCCAGCTAATTTTTGGTATTTTTAGCAGAGATGTGGTTTCACCATGCTGGCCAGGCTGGTCTCGAACTCCTGACCTCGTGATCCCCCCGCCTCGGCCTCCCAAAGTGCTGGGATTACAGGTGTGAGCCACCGCACCCAGCCTGTTTTTCTTCTTTACCTTCTAAGGATGACTCCCAAAACCCTATAGTTTAGATTTCCCCTTTGAAAAAATATATGAACTTACTCATATTTTATGTATGATTTTGTTTCTGGCTTTTTAGATTATTACTATGTTTGTGCTATTAATCCACATTGTCAGGTGTACAAACAGTAATTTATTGTCATATAGTATTTCATTGTATGAACGTATCACAATTTATTTTTCCATTCTCCTATTGTGGTACATTTGTGTTGTTTCCAATTTGGGGCTAATGTGTTCAAACTGTGAACATTTTGAACACATATATTAAAGCATATGTGAAGGTACATCAGTTGGTTATATACCTAGGAGTGGAATTGTTATAGAATATGAGTATCTTTGATTTAATACACAATGCTGAATAGTTGTACCATATCTTTGCCAATAAATGCTCTTGTCAAACTTTTGAATTTTAAGCATGTGGCTTCTTATTTGGGTTTTAATTTATATTTGTTTCTAACTTTAAGAACTTTTTATATGTTTATTGCCTATTCAGATGTATCCTTCCTAATGTCCTGACTTTTTCTTAACGAGGTTATCTTTGTCTTTATTATTGACTGATAGTGGGTCTTTATCTCTTTTCCTGCTTTTTTTTTATGGCTTGCTGTTCACATTCTTAAAGTATTTATAACATTCTCAATTTTTATATAATCTGACATTTTAATGCTTTCATTTGGGTTAGAGATTTTTGTGTACTTTGGGAAAATATTATTCATTATCCCAGTGTTATGAAGGCTTTAAAAATAATTGCTCATAAACCATTTATTTTCCTTTCACATTTATGCATACCACAAGGAAATAATTTTTGTGTTTTACGTGAGTGCAAGGTTTTTTTTCAGCTTCAGAATCCAGTTGACGGAAACAGAACCACGTAATTACTGATACTAGCTGTGTCTTCTCTTTTTGTTCTTTCTGTTTTTTCTCTCCAAGAATTTATTTTTAGAAGAGACGTATGAAGTTCAAGCATTCTATGTTCCTTTCATTGTATGGAAAGAAGGCAAAAGTGATATAAATAAATTTTAAAATAATAATTAATTTTTATCTTTTCTAAAGTGCAAATTTTGGCTTTTTAAAGCATCTGCAATTCATAATTTTTATTCCATTAATTTATTTGGTATGTTTAATATTTGCTTCTTTCTTCATTTCTGTGTGTTTATGTTGTTTAATTCTTAATTTTTCAAGATTATTAGATTAGTGATTGATTTTCAGCCTTTTAAAATAGCTGTACTCAAAACTATACATTAACTTCTAGACGTGACTTTTGCTGAATCCAAAAAGTTTTAATATGCAATAATGTGAATATTCAATTCAAAATATTTCATATTTATGTTATTTATTATTGTATTCATTAGTTATTTTTAAGTGTGATTTTTCACTTTCAAAAATGTATGGATTTTAGTTATATTTTTGTTATTTATTTGGATTAAGTGCATTAAAGAGAGAGAAGATTACTCTATGATTTCTACACTTTGAAATGTTTGAGAATATTGTTTTTTTCAGATCCAAACATTTTTATTTGCTTTCAATTCTTTTTTGTTTGTTTGTTACATTTGGCTAATGCCCTCATATCTCTGATTATATTTATTTATGTATTCTTTTTTCTTTTTTTATTATTATACTTTAAGTTCTATGGTACATGTGCACTACATGCGGGTTTGTTACATATGTATACATGTGCCATGTTGGTGTGCTGCACCCTTTAACTCGTCATTTACATTAGGTATATCGAAATGTTTCAGCATTTTTTTAAGGCTCGGTATATGGTGAACTTTAGGTAAAATATCCATGTGTGTTTCAGAAGACTGTAAATTCTGCAGTTCTCAAGTGTAATGTTCTATAAATGTCTATGAGATCAATTGTGTTAATTAAAATTATTCACTATGATTATGCGGTTGCCTTTTTTTTGTAATGTGTTATTGTTAATAATGCATTACGTGTTTGAAGCTGTGTTATTAGATGGATACAAACTAGAATTGTTATATCTTCTTTGTGAGTTCAAAGTTTTATTATTTTAAAGTCCATCCATATTTTTATTAGTTTGTATGATAAAATCAATTTTGTCTAATATAGATTTACCACCATTTGGAGGATAATATTTGCATATATTTTATCACCCTTCTACTTTCAAATATTTTGCTTCCTTGCTTTTATATATGTCTTTAATAAATAAGAGTTGGATTTTGTCTTTTTAATCAAGTTTGACAACCACAATATTTTAATTAGAGCATAAGTCCATTTATATTAATTGTATAGTTGTGTTTAATTTTACTATCTTATTATCTACCTTCTATTTGCTTTAGCTGTTTTATGCATTCTTTCTTTCTTTTCTTACCTTCTTTTGACTTCATAAAAAGTTTATTCAATTTTTGTCCTTCATTAGCTTGGAAGTACTCTTTTATTCTTTTCTTGCTAGATACCCTAAAGATTCAACATGAATACTATACTTATGAACCTCAGTTATTGAAGGTCACTTTCACCTTCTTTCTATACAATGAAAGGAACACAGAAAGCTTGAAATTCATTTATTGCCCAAAATCATATGCTATTTTAGCTTATTTTAATTTTCTCTATATTTCAAATCCATAAAAAAATTATTAACAGTATTTTATGCCATCAGCATATGCTTAGATTTAACTAGTTAAATTTACCTGAAACAAAATACATTTATTCTTGAAACAGATTGGGATACTATCTTAGCAGTTGTTTCCCTTCACCATATGGAAGCAACCATTCTGTTGTTTCCTATATTCCATTGTTTCTGATGAGAACTCAGTTGTAACTCTGGTCAATCTTATTCACCTTATTTAAATAAACTTGTATGGTTTGATGATGGCCTTTTCTGCAATTCACTATCATTCATCTAAATGGAGATTAATCTTTATTATTTTTCTTAATTGGGCATTTTGAACTTGTGGATTGATTATATTACTCAGTTTGGGAAAATTATGAGAAAATATCTCTTTAAATATAACCTCTGTTCCATTTTTCTGCAGTTTTATTCCAGAATTCTAAGACAATATAATATACCATCTCATTGCCTATCCTATGCATCTCTTCACTGTTGGTCTATATTGTCTATTCTTTGGTACCCATTTGCTTCAGTCTAGAAATTTACTTTTCACCTACTTTTTAGTTCACTTGCTCACTCTCTCTTTACCCATTTCTAATTTTCTGTTAAACCCATTTAATGGAAGTCAATTATTTTACTTTTTAGGGTAAGAATAATTTCATTATTTTTGTCAAATATAATTGATCAAATTTATACTTACTAATTTTCTGTTAAATTTTTCGGTCTTATCTTCTACCTTTTTGAAAATATTAATAGCAAAACTACAATTACTTTTGCACCAACTTAATAATAAGCACTTTTTTATAGCCAGTGTATAATAATCCCAATATCTGGAGGCCTATGGGTCTTGTCTATTTACTGTTGTTTCTGCTTTTTCTCATTCATGCTGTCTTGCTTCAAGTGTGCCTGGCTATCTTGGATGCTAAACATTTAATTTAAACTGTTTTTGTAAAATTAATTTGACACTGAATTATGTGAATTTCCTACAAAGAAGGCTATTGTTTGCTTCTGTCAGATAACTAGGAGCTTTAACAATTCAGAATCTACTTAAACAAAAACTCAGTAAATGTGATTTTGGCGGAGGCAACTCAGATAACTAGAAGCTTCCTGCCGACCATAAGAAGGCTGGTTTGTTCAGCTTTACCTATGATTCTGTAATGTCCTTTTGAGTTCCAGACAAGAATAACAGATGAGATGTTTTGCAAACCCAATATGAAGGTTTCAAAAGCATCTATCTTTTGGATATTGGACTCATAATTTTCCCCAATATCTCAACAAGAATGTATGCCCTAATTATCTAATCCACAAATTTGAAAGGCCACATGGCTTTTTGAACACTCACAACTGAGTAAAAATGAGGATTATTGGCAAGTAGAAGATGTGGTCATTGTCTAGTATTCAAGGAAAAGGCAGTTCACCAGGTATGTGCTGAGTCCACGCATATCATTCAGAAATTCCTCAGGACAGGTACATATGCAGCATCAAAAATCTGTGTTTCTTATTTGTGATAGTCATAAAGATCAATCCAATGTTCCAACTATGTGGCCTCTAGTGGCAGGTTAGATCTGATAGGTTGCATCATCAAAAGATGTTGAGAATATAAGAAAATCCAAAACAGTTCATTAGGATAAGTAAAAAATACAAACAAAAATAATAAGAAGTATGAAGAACTAAGTCAAAAGGCCATAGGCAGAATTGAAGTTAGTGTTGTGGGAAGTCAGGGACCCCAAATGGAGGGACCGGCTGGAGCCGTGGCAGAGGAACATAAATTGTGAAGATTTCAGGGACATTTATCAGTTCCCAAATAATACTTTTATAATTTCTCATGCCTGTCTTTACTTTAATCACTTAATCCTGTTATCTTCATAAGTTGAGGATATACGTCACCTCGGGACCACTGTGATCATTGTGTTAACTGTATAAATTGATTGTAAAACATGTGTGTTTGAACAATATGAAATCAGTGCACCTTGAAAAAGAACAGAATAACAGTGACTTTTAGGGAACAGGGAAGACAACCATAAGTTCTGACTGCCTGTGGGGTTGGGCAAAAAGAGTCATATTTTTCTTCTTGCAGAGAGCCTATAAACGGATGTGCAAGTAGGAGAGATATTGCTAAATTCTTTTCTTAGCAAAGAATATTAATACTCTGGTAAAGGAATGCATTCCTGGGGGGAGGTCTATAAACGGCCACTCTGGGAATGTCTGTCTTATGTGGTTGAGATAAGGACTGAGATATGCCCTGGTCTCCTGCAGTACTCTCAGACTTACTAAGGTGGGGAAAAACTCCGCCCTGGTAATTTGTGGTCAGACCAGTTCTCTGCTCTCAAACCCTGTTTTCTGTTGTTTAAGATGTTTATCAAGAAAATACGTGCTCCGCTGAACACAGAAACTTATCAGTAGTTCTGCTTTTTGCCCTTTGAAGCATGTGATCTTTGTACCTACTCCCTGTTCTTATACTCTTTCCCCCTTTTTTTTTGAGATGGAGTCTTGCTCTGTTGCCCAGGCTGCAGTGCAGTGGTGCAATCTCGGCTTACTGCAAGCTCCGCCTCCCGGGTCCACACCATTCTCCTGCCTCAGCCTCCTAAGTATCTGGGTCTATAGGCACCCGCCACCACGCCTGGCTAATTTTTTGCATTTTTAGTAGAGATGGGGTTTCACCGTGTTAGCCAGGATGGTCTCAATCTCCTGACCTTGTGATCTGCCCGCCTCCACCTCCCAAAGTGCTGGGGTTACAGGCGTGAGCCACTGCGCTTGGCTTCTTTCCCCTTTTTAAAACCCTTAATAAAAACTTGCTGGTTTGAGGTTCAGGCGGGCATCATAGTCCTACCGACATGTGATGTCACCCCCGGCAGACCAGCTGTAAAATTCCTCTCGTTATACTGTCTCTCTTTATTTCTCAGCCGGCCGACACTTATGGAAAATAGAAAGAACTTACGTTGAAATATTGGGGGTGGGTTCTCCCAATAAGTTAGAGTTTCAGAAAAAATTCAGACAAGAGATTACAGATTAATTGGCCAATAGGTGTATTGTATGTGGATGTGCCAAGCTGATATAAAGAGTTAGAGATAATAAAGACATGAGAGGTTTGGATAACACTACAACTATGACTCCTTTGGTTTTGACTGCTTATAGAAGTAGGTGAACATAGATTCCAAATAAGGAGCAGAATTGTTACCACTGGAGTCTCAGTCTATTGACATGTAGTCATGGGGGTTGAAAAATTGCGTCTATGGCATTTACGTATTTCACACACACACACACACACACACACACACACACACACACACACACCCACCCTAGTATGGTAGTATAGATTACCACAAGATTAATTCAGAGGAGCAATCTTAGTGTCACTGCCCTTGTCTCTATCTCAGCACCATATCCTCTCCTGATTCAGTTTATAAGAATAATATACTGGTTAAGTGCATCATCTGGAATCAAAACATATGATTTCAAATTCTGACTCTGCCACTTACTGACCTTACAACCTTTATTCTGGCTTCCTCAACTGTAAAGGGAATGATAGTTGTTATCTATCTAATGGAAATTTAGTAGGATTCACTAATTAATTCATACAAGCACTCAAAACACTGCCTAATGTATAGGAAGTGCTCAATAAATATTAGTATCAACAAATTCAAATCAGGAAAGGCATGAGGACAGTCTGTTTCTTAAAAGTGTCTGTTCAATTGTACTCTGGCCAAAAATCCAATACCCTGTTAGAGATTTTCAGCTAAGATAATTTAAAAACAACAGAAAAATTATTTCCTTACATTTAAGGAAGACTATTCTTTATTTTTGGCTGAAATGCTGTGTTCAGTTCTAGTTGATATATATCACAGCAAGAAAATAAGTGGGGAGAATGGTATCCTAAATACATCAGGAACGTTAAACATGGGGGAAAATGTGATCAAATCAATAAAACTGTCAACAGCATGAACAGAATGAACTCTTCGTTATTTATTTCAGTGTTTTAGGATGACATGACACATCTTGAAACCTGAAGGAGGCAAACTGAAGTCAAAGAGTGCCATTTGACAATGCAGGAAATCACTAACCCTAAGAAATATTACTTGGGAAATATTATCATTCTATAATTACAGATTTAAAATCATTTTATCCATGATGTTTTTTCTTCTTATGCTCTCCCCTTGCCCAGGGTCTACATTTTCCTTTTCATTTTCAAATAATTAGGTAATAAATACTGATTTGTTACCATTGGAGTTAGAATGGATGACATCCACAAACTTTGCATCATTGTAATCCAGTCTTCTATATGGTGGTTTTCTGGAGAACTTTGGCCCAGCAGGGTCAAGACCTGGAAAGCAAGAAAGAAACTACCAGTCTAATCAAGTCTACAGAGCTCCTTACATTGCATACTTCCATTATTACTACATTATAAACATAAAAAGCATTTATACTTTTAGTTAAAACCTATCCAAAAACATATCTAAAAACAAATGAAAGTGGATGAATAGCAGGTAACTTCATTATTTGAATAATAATACTAACCTTCAGAACTTTTCAAGTTAAGCCACAACAAAATATTGTAGGATTTTTTGGAGAATTTTTATGTGAGACTGAATTAGGAGTAATACAGTAGTTTACATTTAATAATAACTACAACTATTTCTCCTGAAGGGAAAAAATAATGAATACCATCTGGTTCTCTCTTGAACTCTGTACTTTACTAGCTCACTCTGGATTCATCTGTAGACAGACCTGAAAAGCTTTTTCAGGTGCCAAATATAATTTGGGCTATGGGATAAACCATGTTATCTTATCCATTTCTCATAAGACTTTCTCACACACTCTTAAGAAAAGGAAAATATATTTTAAATTCTGTGGAGTGTGAATATTATTTCTGGGATATCCTAATTTCTAAATAAAAATTCTAGGCTCATGAGTTTCTGGGAACTGTCAAAAAGCGGAGAGAGAAGATAAAATTCAGTTTCTTGAGAACATCTATACAATGAAGAAACAATCATCTTAAAAAGATATTTGAAAGTAAAATATAATGTTTTTCCATTTCAAACACCTCTATTATCCCCATTTTATTTAACCCACTTGACTGAATGAGACAGAATCATCTATCTTCCTATAAATTATTCTGATGTAGAACTTCCACGTTTGGTGGCCTTTTAGTCCCTGATGATTGCCTGGTATTTGGGGCCATTCAAACTAGACTAATATGTGTAAACACAATTTAAGTACAAATTGAGCAAGTGTGGTTTTTGAAATAGAATGGGCTTTAAGCACTAGGGAACTTTGTAGAAATAAATCCTGGCTAAACTGCTACTTCTTGACCCTCCTACATTCATTCAGTTAATGTTTTCACACATGTTTGTTAACATTAAAACTAATCAGAGTAAGGATATGCTTAAGGTTTGCAAAGATAACTATCTATATGTTATTCACCTCTCTCCTCCTTCTTTGAAACTTAACTAAAGACACTATTTTCTTTTATCAACACTTAAAGTTATTATAAGTCTTTTATGGCCATATATACGAATAATTGCTTTTTTTTTCAAAATAAAAAAGGTAAATTGGTTGAAAGGAATATTATCCTCCTATTCCTAAAATCACTACCACTCATAGAGGAAAGAATGAAAATCCATGTCAGCCTTATTAGATGACCGAGTTTTCTGGATGCAGTAACTTTGTTATAGAAATATGAAGGGGGACCCAGAGCCCCTCAAATTGGATACAACCCCTGTTTCCTTTGTAGCATTCAAGTAAAAATTTTTAGAGACTTGAAATGCATCAGTTTGTAATAACTAAGTAAATAGTTATATTCTTAGCTAATACATAAAGTATTTTTGTTCAATGGGTCACATTTACTTCTGTATTCTTAGGATAGTATGTCCTTAAAATTTAGCTGGGACTACAGAAATAGGTATTTTTCTCCCATTTCCATTTGGGTAACTTAAGCTCTGTTGAGAGCTTAACAAAACTTCAGAGTCTAACTAAAACAAAGCCAATATTTAAATATAACATAGAAAATAATAAATGTTTGTACATAATTTCTATTGAGTAATTATTGTACCCACTAAATTTTAAGTGGCTGGGCACAGTGGCTCACGCCTGTAATCCAAGCACTTTGGAAGGCCGAGGTGGGCAGATTTCTTGAGGTCAGGAGATCGAGACCAGTCTGGCCAACATGGTGAAACACTGTCTCTATTAAGAAAAACAAAAATTAGCTGGTGTGGTAGCAGGTGCCTTTAATCCCAGCTACTCGGGAGGCTGAGGCAGGCGAATCACTTGAGCCCAGAAGGCAGAGGTTGCAGTGAGCCAAGATTGTACCACTGCACTCCAGCCTGGGCAACAGAGTGAGACTCTGTCTCAAAAAAAAAAAAAAAGAAGGCTGGGCGCGGTGGCTCAAGCCTGTAATCCCAGCACTTTGGGAGGCCGAGACGGGCGGATCACGAGGTCAGGAGATCCAGACCATCCTGGCTAACATGGTGAAACGCCGTCTCTACTAAAAAATACAAAAAACTAGCCGGGCAAGGTGGGTGCCTGTAGTCCCAGCTACTCGGGAGGCTGAGGCAGGAGAATGGCGTGAACCCGGGAGGCGGAGCTTGCAGTGAGCTGAGATCCGGCCACTGCACTCCAGCCTGGGCGACAGAGTGAGACTCCATCTCAAAAAAAAAAAAAAAAAAAAAAAAAAAGGAAAAAGAAAAAAAATTAGCAAAGTAACTTCTGAGACTTAAAAGTATGCTAAAGCAATAATTTTATAAAAATAATTTTACCTGTTATTCTTCCAAGTTGACCATTAAATATCTTTCCAACAAATCCACTGATATGAGCCCCTAGGCTCATACCTATGAAATGAAAATTGTCAAGAGATGCACCATGCTTCTGCAATTAAAAAGGCAATATTACAGTATTCATTTCAAGTAATAACAAATCATGCCTTCCTCATATATCAACATTTTAAAATTCATTATTTTTTCTGGCTTAATTCATTTTAAGGATATAGGGAAAGAGACTTTACAATTTCAAAACAACTATATCTTTGTTCAGTTTTTGCCTAAAATATTTGATTTTTCTTTATTCATTTTCAATATTAATTTTTTATTTTAAAATTGTATCATCTCATGCAGAACAGTATATGCAAAATACAATTAATTAGCAAAGTGTTTTATAATAATCAACATTACTAGGTGTTTACTTTCTGTTAGCTACCTCGATATGGGCCTTATAAAGTTCATATTTAATACTTCCAACTTCATTATGAGTTATTCATTTTTATCCTAATGCCTAAAACTGTCAGCAGCACCTATTAAATGCTAAATAAATAACATTGGATCAATTCCTATTTTATTAAGGAAACAGTGTCAGAAGTAATGACTTTCCCAAAGCCACATAGATTCATAAGACAAAAAGATAGATTCTGAATGTTTGTGTCTCCCTAAAATTCATATGTTGCAATTCTAATCCTCAAGGTGATGATATTTGGAGGTGAGGCCTTCTTGTGGGTTGGGAGAATTATGTCATGAATGTGGAACCCTCATGAAAGGGATTAGTGCCCAGATAGAAGAGACCTGAGGGATCTACTTAGACTCTTCCACCATGTGAGGACACAGTGAAAAGGCATAATCTATGAACCAGGAACTGGGCCCTCACCAGACACTGAATCTGCTGATGCCTTCTTCTTGGATGTCTCAGACCCTGGAACTCTGAGAAATACATTTTTGTTGTTTATAAGCTACCTAGCCTATGGTATTTTGTTATAGCGGCCCAAATGGACTAAAACACAAGCCTAGGTCTCACTCCAAAATTTATGCTAATTTGCTTTCTTGTTTTATCTGATCAGGTTGTGTCAAAAACCTTAGGAAGATTCACAAAAGTTGAATAATGATTCTCACTTCAGAGATGATAAAATTAATTTCATGGATTTTAGGTGACTTCCCCTGATCACCAGCTAAGGAGTGATGCGTCCAATCTTCCAAGGCCGACCTCTGAATACCTCTTAGTCTCAGCTCCAGGAAGGGAATTAGGAGACTACATGAGAGTGTACTTTCACCACACTCTTCGGGAGCTAGTGTGAGACTTGTGGGCAGATCATGGTCCAGCCCACACAGTGACACGTCTGATGGCTTACAGAAAGATGTGGAGCACTTGCCACTAATGAAAAACTACACTCAGGCTTTCAAGGCACAAGGTTATGATTTCCTTCAGATCTCACAGCCATGCCCCAAAATAGGAGGGAGTATCTCTCAAGACTCCAGTGCTGCTGGTCATTTAAATCTTCCTCTGTAATACGAAGCCTCTGTAAGCAAAGGCACTGTTAGAATTTTACCTAATATTACAAATTTTCCTAAATATTTCTATTTAACATTCACATTCTCCACACTTTGAGGCATATATTTATTAGTTGAGAAAACACCAGTAACATCAGGAAAAATCAGTGATGTAATTAAGTCTGTTGGTGGGGATGGTTGAATCAATTATCTCCTCTGTCTACAGCAACGGTATTGTTTTGTCCAAATTTGGGGGTGTAAAAATAATAATGAAAGTTGATCTTACTCAACGATGACTCAATGTCACCCACTGATTAAGCACATATATATTAATTCAATATGCATATAAATATTTTGGTAACATTTTGTTATTCTATATTTACAAATAAGGAAATGCAGCACAGAGAGGCTATGTAATTGTTCAAAATTACAGATGATAAAAGATGGACATATACTTTGAACCCATCCAGTCTGACCCCTGGCCACTACACATAACTGCTTCTTGGAAATGTTGTTATTTGTTCAGTTTTTAGCAGAGTCTGGAAAGTTCAGCACAACACAACTCAAGTTCAAATTTCAAGCCCAATAATGCCCCCAAACCAGATAGCACCCTTCCTTCTCTCAAGTACCCACGACTACCTACTTTCTTTTAGGATAGACATGGATCTCCCAAAGGGTTGACTTTGTAAACAAAAATCATTCACAATACAGATAACATAGAACTGGCCTGAACTTTATTTGATCCATTCAAATCCTGAGCAGACTCGAATGAATCTGAGGTCTGCCTCCAAAGGTGACAGAAGTATGCTACTTTTCGAAATGATTTTTTGCCCGTAATCCCACCAATTTGGGAGGCCAAGGTGGGTGGATCACCTGAGGTCAGGAGTTTGAGACCAGCCTGTCCAACATGGTGAAACCTTGTCTCTACTAAAAATACAAAAATTAGCTGGGCATTGTGGTGGGCACCTGTAATCCCAGCTACTCAGGAAAACCACTTGAACTTGGGAGGTATAGGCTGCAGTGAGCCGAGTTCGTGCCACTGCACTCCAGCTTGGGTGACAGAGTGAGACTCTGTCTCAAAAAAAAAAGAAAAAAAAAAAGGATTTTTTCTTTACTTTTACCGATTCACACTTAATTATATGCCAATATTTTAGCCATATATTTTTAAAGATACTTTAAGAATGTAATAATTGTAAAGTTTATTTCCCCCACCCACATAGGATAACTATTTTATTCTGAGGTTGGTATAGGTAGTGTTAAAAGAAATCTCAGAAGATTTTTAAATAAAACATAATAACTACTAAATTTTAATATAATGTTTTACAAATAACACAAGATATTTCTAGGTATGGAATTATTCATTTAGGCAGACAAAGAAAAGATGGCTGCATACATTAGTATATTAAACCAGTAATTGTTAATGCTTATGGGGAAAAGTATATCGTTTATTATCACTTTGGGGTATTGAATGTAGCACACTGTATATTGTATAGCATGTATAATACATAAAATTCCAAGACTTACCAAAAGATTTTTAATGTGCCCACTCAAACTCACAGCAACTTTTCTGGTGTTTTTAACCGCTCTATCATAAATAAAAGTTGTAGCACCTCGGTTCCAGTCAACTACAATTACATTCATATCTTCTTCATTCAGCAAAATGCTTACGAAGTTCTGAAGCCATGATGGGATGGAGCCCATTGGTCTGTATCCATGAATAAGCCAGACTGTTTTCTTTTGTGTGTTGAAATTAACATTAAGTGAGTTATTGTGTTCAAACAGTGGCTTAGCACAATTTAGGTTGTTCCTTGTATACATCATCAGAATTATCTCTATTCTTGGAATAAATAAATCTCTGAAGGAATCCTTTATACTTAGATGAGAGAATTCAAGGCATGGTCTTTCATTCTCTGAAATAAGAAAATGTCAATCAAGTTAAGTACTGGAATAATATTTTACTCCTGTTGCTGTTGCAAAGAACAAAATTAAATGTGGAGTGTGGGAAGACTTCATTTCATTAGCCCTTTAACATAATTTACTGAGCAACTGCAATGTTTAAGGTAATGCATTAATTATCTAAAAAGATTTTCTGAACTAAAAGTAATGGAAAATACAAATGTGATTGGTTAAAAATTTAAGAAGAGATTTTTATCTGTACAAAATGTAACAATAATGGTGTGAGTGAAAACAGTAAGATTGTTAATAAAGTGCAATGGGTACTAATCAAAGTCGATAAATTGATCATAAACTTTAACAAAAGTTTTACAGAATAGTCCTTGTATAATAAGCATTAGAATAAAATATATTTAACCTAACTGGTCATCAATACAAAACAATAAAGTAATATTTTCCTCATAAAATTTAAAATGTTTTAGAAAATTAAATAATAAATATTAATATAACATGAATGTTGAGATCATAAGTTGATACAACATTCCTTTGAAATTTTACATGTGTGTGTTTACTATACACATAAACTTAACAAATCTTTTTCTTAATTTTCTTTCTAGGACTTACCATTTGTAATAAGTGTAAAGACATTAATCACTGGGTTATGTATAATGGGACAAAAATGTAAAACATCTTAAATCTCATCCTTATAGTATTTTCATCCATGTGTACATTCTATCACTATTAACTATCTGTCTACATATTGCTCTATATACTTATCTATCTACCCTAGAAAGAACTAGGACAGAAAATAAAATAACTAAACCAGATTTATAGTAAGAGTCATTGCTAGACAATGAAATGATGACTGCCTTTTGTTTTCTTTTTCACAGATTTTTGTGATTCTATTTTTTTTCACAATAAGCAAATAATCCCCATAGTGTTTTTTTTCCAGATGATAGTATATGTTCATACTGCTTCTAGCACTTTAATTTGATAAGAATATTTAGGAAATAATTTTTCAATCCATACCAAAAATTAACAAAAGTATTAGTGCACTTTATGCCAGTAATTCCACTTTAAAGAATCTATCCCAGAAAAACTTAATACTGAGATAATATGCATTTCCTACAATAATTCTAGTTTTCAAGTATATTCACAATATTGTCACAATTGATTAGATGAAGAAAAATAAGGAAGGCAATAAAGGAGAAGCAAGACTTGCATTCCATTCCTATATTAACAGCTGAGAGATATTTGGAAAAATTATTTCATTTGTTGTAAATATCAGAGAATGAGGAAGAGAAATATATTGAAACACAATACAATATGAAAGCAAGCTACACTGTGCAAATTGTGTGGGAAATCTGTACATCCACCTTCTCACCACCTGGAATTCTGACAAGAATTTAATACATATCAGTACCAATCAATACATCCAAAGTCCTGGTCCACTCCAAGCTAAAGTCAATTTTACCTGGCCCTAGAAAGAGTAATGAGGAATAAACCAGTAGGATCCTGGTGATAAATATAACAGAAATAAATCATCACCTAATACAATCAACAAAGATATCTATTATCTATTAACAGATACACAAGTATTTTTCATTAGAATGCAAGAAAAATTACATCTCAAAAACCGGAGCAGGAGTGAAAAATACAAAAATTAGCTGGGCATGGTGGTGCATGCCTGTAATTCCAGCTACTCGGGAGGCTGAGGCAGCAGAATCCATTGAACCAGGGAGGCGGAGGTTGCAGTGAGCCGAGATTGTGCCACTGCACTCCAGCCTGAGCAACAGAGTGAGATCCGTCTCAAAAAAAAAAAAAAAAAAAAAAAATTAAGAAAACAACAATAGAATCAGATGAAAAACACAGTAATGAAATATTCCAATTCAGAAAAAGTAAAAATGCAATTGCAAAATTAAAATCTGCATTATAAATGCTATAACAAACCATGGAAAGCTCTTCTTATAGTAAGAACTGAAGAAAGAAAGATATTAAAATTATTAAGGGAAACACAGATAGAGGACAGGGTCTGCTTATTCAAATTAAAAATGATTGCTGTTTCCCTGAGGTGGGGTGGTAATCATTTGAGGGTAAGAGAAAGTAGCAGCTACAACAACTAAGGAAATAATTGTATACAGGGATTTGCACATGGAAAAGGCTCACCATAATCTAGATAAAATTGGTAAATCAGACTCACCAAGAGACTTCCTAGAAACTGGTTTGGATTTCGATGAAAGAGAAAAATACCCTAAAAATATCAAGGCAGAAAATCCAAGTTACAAATTTCTATTGTATGAAGGAATAAAGTTCTAATGACTTCATAATTCTCTTTTTTAAAATAAAACATGAGATAGATAAAAATGTCATCAAGTGGAATGTTTTGTGCCCTAATAATTTTATACCTTTCCTAAAGTACACCACTCATAAAAAGCATAGTAAAGTCCCTGACATTGTCACTATTAAATAAATGTAGATTTATCAAAGACAAGATCCAGAGAAACTTTCGGTATACAAAGATTCGAAGTGAGTATGGAATAAAATTAGATATTGATTTTAAATTTATGAAACTGGGTAAAACATGAATGCGGTATCAAAAATCATTCTTGTACAGTATTTCCAAATTATACTAACAAGATGAGATGTAAGTTAAAAATACAGAGGAAGTAAGCTTGTTGCAAAAATTCATCAACTGAGGGATTTGCAAGATTATTATTTTTTGACTTTCATAGATACATAAGTAGAGGTTTAAAAAAGATATTAAAAACCTTAAATGTTAAATGCTGTGCTATGTAAAATAGTACACATAAATTTCTACACACTAGAAAATATTAAGTTATAGCAAACAGTACATATATATATAAGAAGTGAAAATGGAAATATATAAAGCAGAATGAAACAAAATGATGATATTACACTAGAGAAAAGAATATATATGATATGTGAGCAGTTCTGTACCCTATTAAAAAGCAAAAAATAAAAATAAACATTTTTTTAAAAAAGTAACAAGATATTTAAAGGAGGTACACAGGCAATTTTAAATAAATAGAGAACTAAATGTATTCTATATAAAATAAAAATAAAATAGGTTGGTGTGTTATAGTGCAGTAATGGCACCAATTTACCACTCCTGAATCCTTCTCATTTCTCTTGGAAATTTTAGTTACATCATAAGTGGGGTGACTTGTTCCACTCCTTGATATGGACACAAATGTAGGGCTTGCCCTAGAAAATAGAACCTTAGGAAACTTAATGCAAGCAGAGGCTTAAAATCAGCTTGTGCATGTGGGTTTGGACATTCTAACCTCTGCTATCACCACAAAAGCATCCCTAGTCTGGCCTGTTAGAAAAGGAAAGACAGGTGTAATAGTGTAAAGTTCTCCAGTGTGCTAGGTTCTAGTCACCCCAGCTGACTGACAGTCATTCAATAGCCAGACATGAACTGAACCAGGAAAAACAGAGTTACCTAACCACCTCCCATATGACTCCACAAGTGTGAGTAATAGCTGCTTAACATCAAATCCCACTGAAGGTTAAGAGTTTTATTTTATTTTGGCATCACTGTGACATCATATAGTCGATTTCATCAGCAAAATTAATATCAAGTAAAGAGAATAAAAACAAGTCATCAACTGATACAGTGAGTGCGGTGGCTAATGCTTATAATCCCACCACTTTGGGAGACCGAGCTGGGTGGGTCACCTGAGACCAGCCTGGCCAACATGGTAAAACCTCGTTTCTACTAAAAATACAAAAATTAGCTGGGTATGGCAGTGGGCGCCTGTAATCCCAGCTACTTGGGAGGCTGAGGCAGGAGACTCGCTTGAACCTGGGAGGTGGAGGCTGCAGTGACCGAGATCACACCACTGCACTCCAGCCTGGGTAACAGAGCAAGACTCTGTCTCAAAACAAACAAACAAACAAACAACAACAAAACAGTTATCAAATGATACAAAAAAAGGTAAACTAATGTATTGTCAAACTCTTGAACATTAAATTGATTCAATTCTGCTAGATTTAGGAATAGAAAGAAAAATAAGATTCTAGACAACAAAACCTTACAGGAATCCCTGATAAGATTGTAAGTGGACTCTTCAGCAGAAACTTTGCAGGGCAGAAGGCAATGGAAATATATATTTTAAATGTTGAAAGAAAAAACTGTCAACCTAGAATTCCATATCCAACAAAATTATCCTTTAAAAATGAGGAAGAAATTAAAACATCCCAACATTCCTACACGAGCATAAGCTGGGAATTCCTTACCTCTAGACCCACTCTACATGAAATGTTAATGCAAGTCCTTCACATTTAAATGAAAGTACACTAGACAAGTAACTAGAAGTCATACAAAAATATAAAAATATAAGGTTCTCTGGTAAAGACAAATATATGACAAATAAAAACAGTTTTGCTTTGTAACTTTACTTTTTATTTTCTACAAGACTTAAAAGACAAATGCATAAAAATAATTATGAATGCATGTTAATGTTAATGAGTACACGATATATAATGATGTAATCTGTGTCATCGGTAAAATTAAGTAGGGGAGGGTGGAACTGTAAAGAAGTAGAGAATTTTGTTATGGTATTGGAGTTAAGTCAGTATCAATTTTAAAAAGATAATGACTTTTGGCTATTATGTGTAATCCTCAATGTAATCAGAAAGAAAACATCTATAGAATATTTAAGAAAATGAGAAGAGAATCAAAACACACTGCTACCAAAAAAAAAAAAAATCGATTAAACACAAAGAAAGGCAGTAGTGGAGGAAATGAGGGACAAAAAGCGTTAAGTCATACAGAAAACTAATAACAAAGTGGTAAAAATAAGTGCTTTGCTATCAATGATAATTTTAAATGTAGGTAGACTAAACAACCCCCCAACTGGAAACATATTGGCAGAATGAATAAAAATCAGGATCAAACTATATGTTATCTACAAGAGACTCAGTTTAGATTTAAAGACATATACATTGAAACTTAAAGAATGAAAAAAGATATTCAATGCAAAATGTAACAAAAA